TTTTTTTTTTTTTTTTTTTTTTTTTGGTTGTGAATTTTCGGGTGAATTTCTGTATTGGATCTTGAATCTATTTCCGTAAATTATCAGAAGAGATATGGACTGCGGTTTGAAGCATCTGATAATTTCTCATTCATCGGTAGAGGATGAAAGCATGATGGAGATGGGATATGCAAATTATGGGTATGTAATTCTATATTTTCATTCTTTCTTTCTTTTTATTTATGTTTTCTGATCTACATTTTTTTAGTTGCGTTTTTAACTTTTTGGCCATTTTTTTCTTGAAAAAGTAATTTCAGTAGCAGGAGTATATCTGGTGTTAATTTTAAATTATATTGAAAAAAATTTCGGCGGGTTGCATTACCAGAGAAGGTGTAAGATTAGAGCACCCTGTTGCAATGAGATATTTGCCGGCACTGCCACAAATTCACAATGATACAAAGGTTGAACCTTGTTATGTAAAAAAAAAATTAGGATTTTAGCAGAACTTATTTGTAGAGTATTAACTCTTGTTATTGTCAAACAGATTTCAATAGAAGTCGATCCACTTGAGCGTCATGATATTCCCTGTTATGAAATAAAAAGGGTTAGTTTTATTACTCGTCCTTGCATTTTATGATTATGTTATTGTCTATGTTAACATAATGCGGATCCAAAGAGGTGTTTGTTTTTGGTAATTTCTTTTAATTTAAATGATAAGAAGGAATTTATTTTCTCTTTTACTGAAAAATGAAAATGAAGAAATGGAGTTTCTGTCAAAATTCCAACTCTATTACTTGTCTAAAAGTGTTGTTTGATACCCTGATACTGCTTCTTATGGATAAGGGATTGATAAATACTTTGTTTTGTTTCCCATCCTCTTTTTCTTTCTCCTTTTTCTCATTGACATTGATGTTATCCTAACTGAGTCAAGAAATTTGTATTTTTTTTCTAGATATCTGTAAGAATATTCGTGTTCCAAATATTTTCCTTAAATTTCACTACACTTCCTTCATTTGTAATTAACTAAACAAACATATGATCAATAGCACGTTAGATTTTACTAATTTTGTTTTATATCTGTCTTCACGTCATCTGCTCTTTGTGTAACACGGAACAAGATAAGAAATATTTATAAAGGGAAAAAAGGGTAAGGAAAGGAAATTTTTACACTAGAGAGTGTATGCCTTCTATTCCGTTTGTTGTCAATTCTGCTATATATTCCTTCTTCCACTGGTTGTTTTTATTCTCGATAATCTTATCCCTTCCTCTTCAGTTCACTCAATAATTTTTCTTTTTATGGCAGTTATGGAGATTCTTGGCATATATTTAATTTCATAAATGCACGGAGAGTATCCTTTGTGATTTGTGGTGGAGTGATGTCAGATTTCAAGTTCTGCTTTATTGGGTACTGAATTGTGATTCTAGGTATACATTTAATGCAGGCGTATAATTTAGTTCTTGATGAATGGTTTCATCAGGAACAATCAAATTCTTGACTTTGAGCCATAAATTTCAAGAATTACTAGGGACCCATTTAACAAAATTTTTTACTCGTGAGCTACACAGATTTTCTTTGTTTTTCATTGTCTTCAATTCTGTGGAGCCTATTTATAATAGTACACCTTTTTTTCATACCACATGTAGCTCTTATATCGAGGGTCAATTACACTAAATTTGTTTGTTTGCTTTGCTCATTTTCTCATTTTATTCAGCTTATAATTGCTCTCATAAGAGGGGAATAGGACTTGGTATACAAAACTTTCTTGGGCCATTCTTCAATTTTCGTGTAGTATAATGAATCAGCAGCAGCAGCAGCAGCAAGAACAGATGAGCTCTGGCCTTACACGATATAAATCTGCACCAAGTTCTTATTTTGCTAGACTTTTTACCAGTGATGATGGATTTGGAGGAGATGATTTGGATAATATTTTCAACCACCGGGCTGCAAGTCCTGAGACAAATCGAGTTTTTGCAAGTTTCGTGGAGAGTGTCGATACCATGGATCAGAACTACTCATCCAATATAAGTAGTCGGGCCCAATCAAAACCACAATTCTTACAATCTATTAAGCATGAAATCATTGATCAGCAACTACAGAGACATGACAGCAATGATTTTTCTTCAGTTTCTCATATGATCTATCAAAGCCAATCGCAGCAGGGTTATAATTCAGAGGCTACAACTTCTGCCATGGATGATTCTTACAGTAGATCTTCGAGTTTAATCAATTCAGATCGTGTAAATGAGATGAAGTTTAACGGTGGGAGTACGAATCTCATTCGACATAGCAGTTCCCCTGCTGGATTTTTTGCTAACATGAATATCGAAAATGGTAAACTTCCTAATCTTACTTAATTCAGTTCAAGGAATTTCTTGCTTCTTTATATATCTTTCGTTATGATTAGTATCATATAATCTATAACACAGTACCGCTATTATTTTTTCGCTTCCATCTAAGTGTAAAAATGTACATAGAAGAGATGGACAAGGTTGGTTGTTTGAGAAATACAAGGAAAAATGAATGGTTTTGGCAATTTTAATATGTGATGAAAGAGCTTGAGAATGTTACTGAGAATTTTAGTGATTCACAGAGTTTGATGCAATGAGAGATGTGGGAAATTTCGGAACTGGGATTAGTACCAAGGCAGAAGCACCAATGTTCTCGTTTAAGAGTCCAATGAGTTTCTCATCCGGGCACCCTTCTTCCTCAGAAATGATGACCATCGATGAAATGGGATGCAAAACGAGTTCGGGGAAAGGAAATTTGGAGGAAGATGGTAATAAAAATGGTGGTTACATCACAAGTTTCCCAGCTATAACCCCTTGGGATGATGACAATAAGATGTTCTCTAGTGTATCAAATAATCAGGTGATGTTTTTATTATCCTGACTTGTTACTTTTCCAGCTTCTTTAATCTGATTATAAGTTATTTTCTTGATCAGAATACTGACGATCAAATCCGTCGTACAATTCCTTTGTCTCATCACTCAAGTTTGCCTAAGAATTCTGCACTATTATCCGAAATTTTATCGCAAGATTCAGCACCCTGCAAAATTAGAGCAAAACGAGGTTTTGCTACTCATCCCCGGAGCATTGCTGAAAGGGTAAAATCGCTCTAAACACCAAACATCCAGTTCTCTTATCATGTACATTTTGATGGTTATGCGTTTTTAATTTGAGCATTTTGATATTATCTCAGGTGAGACGGACTCGAATAAGTGAACGAATAAGGAGGCTACAAGAACTCGTTCCCAATATGGATAAGGTATATCCACTGCTTTAACATTGTTTTATCCTTTTCTTCTTTTCTGAGAAGTTTGGACTTAATTGATGCAGCAAACAAGCACATCAGACATGTTGGATTTGGCCGTTGATTACATTAAAGATCTACAAATGCAATTAAAGGTACATCCTAAGAGTCTTACATTACAACTTTAACATTGTTTTAACTTTCTTCGAACTTTACAGATGCTTTCAGATAATCGAGCAAAGTGTACTTGCTCGACCGAGCGAAAGACATAGATCAAAAGGCCCCAAAGCTCGGGCATGTTTCTTAACAGAAAAGCAATCAAAAGGAAAGGTAATGGATGGTGGAAACTTTGCTTCTAGTTGGAGATGGATAGAAAAAGCCATTATTGATGCCTCACATAAAGCTAAATGTAAATATATCCATCACTTTTGTTGGAAACAATAAGTGCATGATTGCTACACATGATTGAACTGTATATTGATTAAGATTTGACTCTTTTTTTTCTTAATTATAATTTAAAAGGAATTCAGCTTTATATTTAAGAGAGTAATCAAAATCCTTCTGAACGAAAAACGGGATTTGGATTTACTAATGAAATTTTCATTTGCTGAGTTTCAAAGTTTCTCTAGACACCATTTTGACGCTATCACGATGTTCATATCACCGTGCCAAACCAACCCTGTCGCTTTCATATCAAGTTGATCATGTAGTGCACACCATTCACGGGTTTTGTCTCATCAAGTGCACGGCAAATTCAATTGTCATAAAAGTTCGGATACATGCAAAATTTATATAAATGGTCGATAGCAAAATTTGAACTTAATAGCCTTTTTCAATTATATACCATAACAACTTCATAACAAAAGACACGTTTATTTATTTAAATCAAAAAGTAAAGGTAGAACATATCTATTCAGAGCGCACTTGCATTTTCGACCTCACATTTGGATGGTGATAAGAGCATTTCTCAATTTTGGTGGATTCTGAGTCACAAAAAGCCTTCCAATAGGCAAATGAAAAAAGGGGTTCATGAAAGTCAGTAATGTGGATGTAAAGAAACGCAGAATTTGAGTTTTGCTACACGTACATCGAGCTAACTCTCCGACGTACACTTTTCTCACATGGGAGATTTCAAGATTCTTTTTTTGTCGTGGAGTCTATCCCCTCATGTGAGGAGGGTGTACACCGGAGTGTCGCAAAAACTTACTTTTCCAATCCCTGTGTACCCTTTCTTCCGGTTAACCAAGTCAATCAACTGCCCGACTTTATACCGGATCCGCTTTGTCCTTCTTTATTTTCACAGAAGATATATATATATATATATATTTTTTTTTTTAAAAGTTATACGTCAGTACAAGAATTTATGAATCTTTATTTTAATCACCCCTACACTGTCATCTCCACATTAATTTAGTAGGACAAAACGAAATGCTTATTTGGCAAAGATTTTAGAGTTAATCCCCTTTACTAGAGCCACGTAGGCCCCGGCAAGGGCTTTTTTTATGAATGTGTTAAAAAGTATGAAAAAGTTAAGAGAGAATGTATTGTTAAAAATACGAGTATGATACAAGTGATTCTCAAATAATGAAAATCAAACAAAATCAGAGCTAAATATTGTTCTTGTTTGCTGTTTGGTATGGATTATAATCTCATTATAAAGGGTAAATTGTAGCAAACGGTTCTCAACTTTCACTTTTTTATAACTGTTTCCAACCTTTTTTCTGGACGACTTCCCGGCCTTCGATAAATTATAGATCTAGTGCTTGATTGCTAGTTTTTTCAAATTAATTTTATTGCCTTTATAAGTGCCAAAAGGAAGAATGTCAGGTTTACCCTTATTAATAATTGCCAAATTTAATTCAAAGGTTAGGGACCCGACTGAAATTTTCACAAAAGCGATTGGTTGCTTAACAATGTGTTACACAACTTGTCGCAACTTATCATATAATTTGAAGTAGCTAGTTTCATTTTTTATTTTTATTTTTTTGGTCCTTTTTTTTGGGGAGACAGTGTTAGTCCACAACAATGATAACAGTCCAAGGTATTTTTTACAAGATCAAAAGTTGGTTTTACTTGGTAAAAGAATTCAAGCTCGCATTAATTTATTCTTTGCTTATTTTGAATAAATACATTTTTGAGATTAATATGTGAACAGTATCACTAATATTTTAAGAAACCCTTGATTTTAAATTACTTATATCTATTTTACCATTCGAATTTATATCTTAGAAAGGATCAAAGTGTTTGAAAACCAATTAAGTAGTACACTTAAAAGTATTTTATACGCCTATATATTATAAAGTAATCAGTCAATAGAAATAACATCATGACATTGTAAAATAATATCATTGTACATAGAAGAATTACAGAACACTCACATGGGGTCCAAAAATTGTAAAAAATATCCACCCCACCCACTCTCTTGTGTGTGTTCTAGAGGCGTTCTGTTCTGTGAACCCATCCTTGTATATCAAGAATAATTGATATTAGAAACTCCACAAAAACAAATATAAGAACATTTTACGAGTACCAAATGTAGATTTATTAAAGAACACTAGCATTCATCTTATGTTAAGTACCGCTAACATTTTAAATAAAATCATTGGTGGATAAATTTATGTTGAGCCCTAACATTTGAACCAAGTAATTACCCAATAAATTTATATAAAATGAGTGCTTAACATAAGATGAACACCGATATTCATTAGAGCATTTTTGTATATTCGTATGTCATCCAGAGAAGAAAATGTTGATTTTTCTTAAAGTACAAAACCAAATCTTAAGAAATCAACATTTTCTAATATTCCAATAGAGATTTAAACTCAGGATATCAACAAGTTGAGTCGACTTGCAAATCAAAACTTGAAGCTTGGGCAGACTTGAGAAAAAAAAATTTGGGCTTTTTTTTTGCTCTAGTCGAGCCAAGCTAAGCTTTTGCTCGACCGAAAAATTTAGGCTCGACCCGAGTTTCGACTCGGGCCTTAGCTAGTCGAGCGGCGCTAGGTCAGCATATATATA